CACTTTCGATATTAAGTACGCACAAATAAACAATGACACCGTACCTATGTACTCAGAGATTCCATCTTGTATCTAGGTTATCAAAACTAATTAGTAACCTTGCTATAAGCGTTAAGTGTTTAATTTCACACCGATGCAGCTTACCATGTCCTTACTTGTCTAGAGTTACTATTACCAAGATAAAATTCCTCGCAAATAATGAACATTGTTCTTCTACTATAAAATATTCTAAGCCCCGTCGAATCTTTTCTGTACAGATTTAGTTGCCACACAGGAGCGATGTTCGCTAAAAATAATCTATTAAAAACATGGCACTTGATTAAAAATAACAGCTTTCGTTTAACTCGCTAGTTATACGTTCTAATTACTATTTACAATGCGTAGCCAAATGATCTCCCATTTCCTCCTGTTCTTGTACACATATTAATAGAACATTATCCGCCAAAAATTAAGACAATTCTTATTATTAACATAACGGAACATCGCGATTTTTTTTTGTCATTTAGACATTCGTTGAACCATGTAGCTATTTACGCAACGTGTGATTTATGTGGGAATTGGTCATACCTAATTAAGTACGAAAATATAACTTGTTTGAGACTACAGCACATTATTCGAAGCCCTTGAACCTTTAACAAATTATTTAAATGACCCTTTCTTTTTTCTTTAGCTTTAATTAAATAAATCATCTGGTTTTCTCCAATTTACAAAAGTAGTTCAGAACTATTTAAAAATCTGTATTTGAATATTATAATCTGTGTCTGTCTATTGGGGCATATTAATAACTTCATCAGTATCTCGAAGCAGTGACAGTCTGGTTGTCCCTTTAACAGTTTCATTGATTTTAAATTGATCGCCACATGTTCCCAATAGCCTGACGTGCTGAAACATCGAGACAACATAACATCACGCCTTTTATCCCCCGAAGGGGTAGGCAGAGGTGCACATAGAAGTAACACCCACTTTTCACTATTTATGTTATGAGTCCCATGTAAATGGGGGTGAGCCTATTGCCATATACCGGGCACATTTCCAGACTCCGTGCTACTACAGAGATTTTTAAAAAACCCAGTAATACTTTGCCCGACCCGGGAATCGAACCCGAGACCCCTTGCCCGGCAGTCGCACTTGCGACAACTCGGCCAACGAGGCAGTCAAACATCGAGACGATGTCAGTAATACATATTTAGGTGTTACGAATTTATGAATCGGGATTAAAGCATGAAACACAGCACATGAATCAAAGCATGAACATCGATTACACACCGATAATTTATCATCTTCAGATCATGAAAGAACCAGAAGTGCCAGAAGTCATGATGGACAGTAGGAAAGCGATCACTAAAACTTACCAAAATGTATAGAGTAACGGCATAATGTCTATATTTGTATAATCCAGAATTCTGGAAGAAAGTAACATCTGTTGTCTTAATAAAAAATAAAAAATCATTGAAAGGTCTCATAAATCAACGCAAAGGTCGAGTGTACTACACAGACAGTGTCTTATCCAGCAAATTAAGTCGAACAGTATAGATAATTCCACGTGATTTCTTCTTTTGCAATAAAAATAATGTTATCATGTTTGATAAAATACTTCATAATTATCCAAAGATATCAGTGCAAGTAGCTAGTTGACCGAAATTTTCGAGAGTGATTAACACTATAAACATAATATCATTTGTACTTATTTCTAATACTTCATCGGCTATTTACCTAGGTATATGGTGTACTTGGTGCGATTTATTAACGCTACCAAGATAAAGATTTAATAACATCAATCTTTACCTTCACAACGCTGAGCTATCTACATTCGAAATTCATTGAGGGTTGTTGGAATTCTACAGATTTTGTTTATTCTGATTTGGTCTCCTCTAATAAAAATTCATGAATGTGATCTTCATACGATTTTTTGCACACGTGTTTGAAGACACGTGTTTCTAAGTTTTATGGTCTCGACGGAACTCATTTTTCCTGTTATGAGAAGTACCATTCAATTCATCTTGAAATTTAACTGGTAGAGTATTTATGTCTCTAAATAATAAATACTTATTAGCAACTAGAAACTTCCCAATTGTTACAGTAAAACTTTAACTCTCCAACTGGTAAGATAAGTACCTTGAATAACAGTTTATAAGCACGCGATGTTCAGTTTTTGTTATTTTTTTGCTAAGACTGGGTTATCGTCCTGTCTCAAGTTGTATGGGCAGTTTTTTGTACCATCGCTCGTTACGTAACTTTACATACTAAAACATGTATAATGCCAAGGTACAAGGTCCAATATACTTAACCATGATTTGCTCTACACACAATTGCTTTTATGGAAATAGGATGTGTGATCTGAGAGTCACTTGTGGAGATGCTATTAGAATATCAAATATGTTCGTCATAATATTGCGTTTTTGCGACCTTAGTTAATTTGATTTCTGAACATGTCGCGAATTCCATCGCTTTATGAATATCGTTTTCGACGCTTTATTAAAACAGCAATGAAAGTGGTATTGGTAGTTATTCTTGATATGATAAATGTATTTACTGTGTATATTACTGATCCTTTAAGTAATGTACATATTTATGTTAAGATAATATTATGTTAAAGAGTAATCACTGTGTATATTACAGATGTAACAGATCTTATATTGATCATAATTATGTCAAGATAATTAATGTTATGTTAGAGTACTTATTAAATTTTATTTATTTGACAATGTCTTAGCTTCTAGTTGCTAGAGAGTTTATTTGAGAGTACAGAGAGGATGACTATGTCTATAATTATAAATAACTTAGTATGAAAAAAAATATAATTTAAAATACAAATAAAACAAAACTAAAATATTTACACCTTAAAAAAATGTTATTTTAAGCTTAAGGCATCAAAAAAAATTTACCTCATCGCTATCGTGAGGTAGGGTGCCCAAAAGACTGGCAGCATTGCCACGTTGAATAGCAAGGGCACGCTGCTAGAGAGTAACTATTAATTTACAAGTTTAAACTGTCAAACACCAAGCGGTCACCGGTGACCGCGACCTATTGTTCTTTAATTGTGTCTATAAAACCGGTACTCGACGAGTTAAAGTAAAAACTGTTACACATACACACTTCTATGAGTTTTTGGGTTACACCAACTATTTGAGAATAGAAGATAAGACCGTTCGTTAAATTGTTTAACATTTCACCTGTTTATTGACGATGACATACATCAATACGAGGTCACAGGTGGATTATATGGGATCGTGAAATCTATTTTAGTTCGTACTTCTGCTTGTTATATGTTAACTTCATACATTTTAGACGCTACTTCAATTTTCCTGTATAAGTAAGTAGTGTGTATAATTTATTAAAGATCACGTGAACTATTGATTCTGACCTTTGGAAGGTCTCGTGAGACGGTCGGCACTCCATGAAAGATAATGCGACTATAATGTCACATTCATTATTTGTAAAACGTGCGAAAATGTTGCATATGAGGCAAACAATTCAGTTATTTATTACCTTTTTGCTATATTATTTTTCTTTTTGTCCTCTGTTAGGAATAAAATTTTACGAGAATTATGCTGCTGTGTTCCGTCGTTTTAACTTTGGGTGTGATTGGGAAAGTTGGAATGTGTCCTGTACACCTATATAATTACTGGTTAGCTTGACTAATTGTAAAAGTAAATACTTACCTACTTAATGGCTATTAGGTTTTTAGCGATAAGGTTGCCTGTGTTCTAATACCCATGCAATGTAAAGACATTGCATGGTAACTGTTAGAACCTACCTCACCTACTTCAGATAATTTTTATTAACTGTTTTCAGAGTACACCATATTTTAATTCGTTTTGAAGATTACACCACAAAACAGTAAACGGAATTGCTTGTGTGAGTCCGTTGGTAGGTAAAAAAAATAATAAAAAGCCATAACGCAGTTTAATTAAAAACAATGTATCCAATTACATCACACGACATTGTTTTTTACGCTGGAAACTGTTATCTTAGAAATGATGTGCTTATCCATATTATTGTTTAAATTTCAGTCACAATCAGTACTTTAAAATAAACAGGGTTTGCATTAAGCACGTATTGCTCATGTTGTGTGTTGTATTGTTGTGTTGTGTTAATTTTGCATTCAACATGTATTTATCGGCGAGGCTAGGTAAAAATTGAAATCGAATTTGGTCGATGTATTCGAAATTTTGTTTTGTCAACCTCAAGGTCTACTTCGGCTTACTTCATCAACGATGCATGTAACGTACACTTCATGGGAACTTATTAAATAGAATGGAATATTTCTTCATAATGTTATTCATCTCATTTATTTTCCTAGAAACTTTAAGCATTTGTCGAAAGAAAACCAACATTTTGAACCGCAATTAGAACGGGTTCACCGTCACGTATTTTATAAATAAGTTATTCAGTATGGATGTTATAATTAGCCAGTAAAACCATATTAATTGTAGTGAGTATAATGTGTAATCGTACAATTTGTTGCTCTCATAGCATGAAGTCAGCGTATGTCAGCCGAGGGCGTTGCACGTGGTGACTGTATGATCGTAATACCACGTGCTGCCATCGTGGTTATTTTTCTTATGAAGCCTAACTTATATTTCATGTTTACTGTTGTGTTGCCGAGTTGCGGCGGCCGGCCGGCAATCAAATCATAACAAATGCTATCGCGACGCTGTGCTGATAACTCGGCATGTTGCGATGAGTCCAAACATGGACACTACATTAAATTTGATTGCGATAGAGTATGTGGTTAATCGAACATTACACGATACTTATGAATAGGCAGACCTAAATTCAATGTATTACACATATTATTAAACAATTAAAATTAACGTGTTTACTCAAATTGCAATTCCTGCATAATTTATTATTTAAGTATAAGTTTATATGGATTACATTTAAGTGATTATTTTTATGATATTTACAATGACTGCAATTTAGTCATTATATTTAAAGAGGTAGACTAGACTTCTAATATGATATCATTGTTACAGGCGAGGTGACAAAGGCTGAAAATGACTGTGGAGAAGAGCAAAGGCTTAGAGCCCAAAAAGCCACCAGCGACGAGGAAGGTGGCACCTGATGGTGGATGGGCGTGGATGGTTTGCTTAGGTGTCAGTTTAGTTAACGTAAGTATCTGATTGTCTTTTTAACTTCCTCAAAAAGTACAGGTAAACCGCTAAGCAAAACCTCAAGTCGTTTATGGGCACGGAAAAAATTATCGTAGGTATGATTTTTTTATAGACAGCTATAATTAAAAGGATAGACGGGAATAACCAGACGACGATGTGGTTTAATGCTTTTCATATGCCTACTAGTACATCAGTACTTATGTTGATAAATACGACCAAGCATAATTCACGTTTTACGATAGCAGGAAGTCCCACGATAAAAGTTCTCAGTATTGAATTCTAGTCCTGTTGATGATATAATTTACATGTTTACACTTAAATACCTACATTTATATTACACCGACTCCAATAATTAAATTGAGTTTTGCATGTTTCTACAAAGCAGCTAATTTCAAAGGTCAATCACCTCGTTTTGCGTCCTTGTTTAATAATGTTCGTCTGGTACTTGTTTACATTATTTGCTTAGTGTGTACTATTACTGCGGGATTAAACAGATGAACATAATATCTGAAAACTTCAATGGTAATACTATGGATTTTATTACTAATTATTATTATTTTGAGAAATTAGAAAAAAGTGCGATAAGTGATGTCTTAATGAGTCTATTTTTAGATTTATTGCAAGTTTTACATTGCTGTTGCTGTTAGATAGCTTAGATAAATATACCGTTTGGTTCTCTGACTTGGCACAAGCTTTTGACACCTGTAAGTGCCGATAACAAACAATCAATGGCTTCTCTACACTTACTTATCTTTGCTTTGTGGTATAGAGATACCTATCTACAAGCACCTATATAACTAAGTCTTATAAGGTCTAAAGAGTGAGGGAATTAAATAATTATTTTAGCTGGTATCTACAGGAGTCCCTCAAGGGCCGAAGATGTCACCAATGTAGGTCATTTAAAAAATCATGATAATCTAAAATGATAAACTAAATTCGGTAAGTATGCTGTAATCAGAACAGAATCAGTGCTAGATAAGCGATTGGTTTAGATACAATTATGTTTATTCATTGTTATTCACAATGATAGTGTATTCTTATCGATTTTTCTAAGAGTTGGGCTTATGTAGGGGATCTTGTCTCATTAAAATATTTTATTAACAAAATAAATATAATAATGGTTCCTTTAAAAGCAATACTTACATAAACCACACAGAAACGGTTTTTTTAATTCCTTCCGACTAGGCTAGGTGATTTCATTCCGCAATAGTAGAACAGCCATATTGTATTATAGCCTATTGTTAGTCTAAACTCTGAAGCATATGATTTTATTAATGTTGCATATTCTTCAAAAGTGTATAGAAACAAACAGGCAAAAACCCAATAAAACGGAATTGCCAGTACAAGCCTACATTAAATTGACCTTTACTGTGCTGAAGGATTATACAAAACTATTTTTCCCTGTAATTTTATTAGACCTATTATGGCAGAGAGCAAACTCATTGTCAAAGGTTTTTAAATAATTAAATCCTAAATGGTATAATTAATATTTCTATTGATTTTTTAAAATTTATGTCTACAGAGATATTTGTCAAGTCATACTTATCAAATCTCAATACCGAATCACTAACGATGGTTTTTCACAATATTAAAAGTGTTACCATGTATTGAAGGGCAGTGCAGTGCCTACGTGACGCGGTCACAAAGTCTCGAAGTCTCGGTTCTCGACACAATAATTATGATTGCCTAACTAGTCACATGCTCTCCTAACGCTGACACAATTACTACTTCAACTGATTGTATTGAACTCTGGAAAGAGATTCCTATCTTTTGTGTGCTTTGTTTTTTAAATCTATCAATGTTTACAAATGAATGTAGTTCAAAGTAAAGTTTCGAAATAAATACTTGGTTTCGATACTAAACAGTTTTTACATTTCTTTTGATAATACTCGCGTCGCGTACGCACGTTGAGTGGCCAAGCCTTTTACGACTGTTTTATTGCATCCATATGATTCTTTCAGTTCTACTTACTCACTCTTGCGCACCTCTTAAAGCAGTCCATGTTATTATTTTGAATGCATAATTGTATTTAATTCTTTAGTGAAGAGATACGTTCTTTTCTTTTTGCTACATTAAGATTTCATTACAATATAAACAAGAAACTGGTTTGTATGGAAATAAAAATATTCGTCCTTGCATTGATGAAAGGCTAGTTAGTCCATTTTGTTTAACATGGTTCCTGATTTGTTTCAATATTTATTCGATAGTCTCCATTCCGTTAATATACATTGATAAGCTTAAAATAAACAAACCGTAAGGGTCTGCTATCTTAATGACCTTGAAACACATTTAAGTTGGTATTTACTAAGAGCTTTATTATGGTGGTCCGATTAAACCTATTAAAATTATATTTATTGGTAAAACAACTTCTATTGAAAAATTGATACTGCATAAATTGCATCATTGCTTTAATTCTAGTGTTACGTATGATAAAGACGAACCCATAATTTAAAATATACAAATGATTTACAAATCCAATATTAAAAATACCGGTTCCATTAGAACAGTCGCATTGATTCGCACATATTTATTTATTACATACCTAAATAGCTGGTTTTTAATTTTTGTCATATTATGGAACGTGATTTTTGATTTACATAGAAATCGATGTAGACGTAGTAGAAATATGAGAATTATTAAGATTATTGACAGCCTCGTGTGTGGAGTATAGACACCTTGTAGGTATCAAATGTTTCAGAATTCGGTGATATATCTCCATTTTTAAGGGGGGGGGGGGGAATCTTCGAATGACAGCTCCCACCGGGGTGAGGTGGGAGGGATTGTCAGACTCTTACTGACTAAAAACCACCCCGTTCCTTCTCCTGCACGTCGAGCCGGAACCCCGGTAACCCGTTAGGTTCTCCGCGACTGATATTTCTCCGTAAATCTCCATTCAAGCGTGAACGTGATCCTTCCGTTCCGTTTTTCGGTTATCATAAACAATTATAGCCATCCCATACGATGTGTAAACTCGAAAGTCTCACAATAGTTCTAACAAAGGATGTCGTGTGATATGGCTGAGCTGACACATTTACTATCGATACACAGATAGTAAAATATAATGATATTCCCGATCTCTCAGCTCTACATGACCTAGTCTTGAAAAGGAAATGTGTATTGATTTTCAACGTGACGATGCACTGCTAAAGGCTTGCAAACTTACACATGCAGACTTGAAAATAGAATATCGCAGATTATGTAAATCTTTAACACATTCAGCCCGTGGTTTTCTGTCATCTTTGGTAAGCCGAGCAAACGAAAGCAGATAAGGCTTCCTCCATTTCTAACGTTTCTAAATGTTTGATTTCAGTTTTCAACGCGTTCTCTTGAGCCGTCGTTTGGTTTGCTGTTCAAAGACTTATTGGATGATCTCGGGGTCCACACCACGGGTGCTTCAGTGATTGCCAGTACTCTAGATTCCGTGGTCAACTTCTCTGGCTTCTTTGTGGGGCCTGTGATAAAAACGTTTTCGTACCGAAAAGTATGCTTCGTAGGCTCCACAATATGTGCCCTTGGCTTACTGTTCACGGCACCCGCTGCCAGCATGGGGCACATTATCACTACTTACAGTATTTTAGGAGGTAAGTTTGTCACCAAAATTATTTAATTTTATGCTGTGCGAAATTGCTCTTATGTAACTAAAGAATCATGTGAAATGCTTCATCGATTTTTAGATATATTGACTGTCGAAATGTAACCTTGTTGACCATTTTAAGTTGATTTATACTCGAACGTGTTATGTAAATGCTTATTCCGTGTGCATCCGTTTCACTGTCTAGTGACATTATTTCTTATGCTGTAGCTTCCTAAGGAAAAGTTGATTAATAATTTAAGTACAAATACGTATAAATAATATTGCAGCATTGCCTTTTAAGCAAATTGCTACTTGACTTATAAGCAGTATCGTTTCACTTCCGCACTTTAATAAATATAATTCTTTTGATAGGGTATATAAGAGACATTTGCCTCGTCTGACAGAGCCATATTCCATATTATAATAACCTTCTTAAGCAGTTTGAAGGTTTCTAGGAGGTTTTCCTTTATTATTTCACTAAAGTCATATGTCTTGTATGCGTTAAACTATATAATTAACCTCGTAACATAATTCTTAATGCGCATAATATCTAGACATATTTGTAAACGTTTTACTTTTATCGATACCCTCGTTAGCATTTATACATTATTGATGTGTTACGTGACTATAACCTTATGCTCCGAAGATTATGTGGCCAAAAACTTCAATATTATTTATTGTTAAGCTATCTTTACGTACGATGACGACCTGGCTTGAATTTAACATAAAATAGCTGCGTAATAAAATTAACTGATTATCTTTACTAGGTATATTTGTCATTTCCCCTTGCACCCATTACAAAAATTAGACAAGACCTTGAAACAATAAATAAATGAAAATAGTTTTCAAGAGAAAATTCGCGTTATAATTGAGTTAAGATGGTACCTACCTACGTCAGTGAAAGAAACACGGCCGAGATCTTATTTACAGCTAAAGTAACTACATAAGCATGTTACGTAGTTTGTTTCAAAAGAAAATCTTGCTACCTACGCCAATTACTGGGGAAAATACAATCGTTATTGCGCAAGGGTGAAGGTGAAGCCCTCTACATTCAGAATAATTACTTTAATTATACTGTTCAATATTCAAACATGAATAAGATTTCGATTTTGGTAGGTTTCACGGTTCTTGTCATTGCTGGGTGGGTGATTTACTCTACCAAGGATTATGAACACGTATGTATATTTTAAAGAAAATTATAAAGTGCTTCAATAGACTATTCACATTTTGCAAAGGACATGTAATTATATTAAGCTGTAGTTCAATAGGTACGCAAAGGAAATAATGGCAGGTTCTTCTATAGATATTATCCTTATAACTTATTAACGCCCCAATACTGAAAGGCTTATCAATATTAATTTGTACTTAAATATTGTGCCATTTCTGTCATTTTACAAAGAATTTGTAGCGACAACTATATTTAAGCGCGACTTAGAATTGAGGGTCGTTTGAGTATTATTGGTCATAGGTATATCGTATAGTTGATCGGTAATTTATTTGACAAGTCTCAAGAGTAAAACAATTTGCAGAATTAATTTACCTTTTTTTATGAGTCGTAACGTAAATGGCCCGTTAACGCTTTTCATTACTTAATTCCGTCTGTTACGTCATCAGCGATTCATGTAATTTACACAGCAGCTACTAATGAACGTCATTATTATTTCATGTAATTAATATTTCCTTTCTCAATGACAGGAACTGTAGCTTTTGTTAATATTCTACGTAATTGGCCAATTAGATGACCAATGAATAACTATTTTATTTTCTCTGTTTTCACTATAAAGATTCTTATTACTTTTTCTTCAAGTCAGGATTCAAGAATCATGGTATTATCTTTGTACCTATGTGAGAATTTCGGTATTTATTTATAGGATAAGCGTGAAACGAGCGGATGGATCACCCGATGGTAAGCAATCGGTAACGCCCATAGACACCATAAACACCAGGAGCGTTACAAGTGCGTTACCGGCCTAATGGGAATTGGGAATTTTAGGATTGGGGGGATTCAGGGATGGGGAGACTGGGGAGGGGAGGGGTAATTAGGCCTCCGGTAACCTCACTCACACGACGAAACACAATGCAAGCGTTGCTTCACGTCGGTTTTCTGTAAGGACGTGGTATCACTCCGGTTGCGCTGGCCCATTCGTACCGAAGCATGGCTCTCCCACGCTTAAATTTCGGTGTATTTATGTTTCTTTCTTTCTTTGTCATGAAGTTACTGACAACTTTTTGACTATGGTGTGTATATATTTTTTTTTAATGACTTAAAGATAGAAAGGTAAAAGACTTTAAGCAATGACCGGAGCATATATTTACACATTGCAAATAGGGTGACTCGACTGTAATTAAATATCTGTGTCTGTCTCTTGGCATATCTCGTTGTTATCTTCTTAGTCGTAACTTTTTCTACGCAGGTTTGTCATACTTAAAGTAAAGAGCGCCTACAGTCGAATTTATTCAGAAGTTTTTTCCGAATAATGATTCAATGCAAACAGTGTTTCTCTGAAATAAATTTCCTCTTGGCTACCAAAAGAATATATTTTGACTTTCCTTATTGGTTATTGCGCGATGAAGATATTACCCTACTGCATAAAGAGAGAATGCAGCGAAATATTTGTTTAGTTAGTTTAAAATCCGTCTATAGAAAAATCCATTTTAGAGAACGCAAAATCGATTTTAACAAGCGCCGTTGTTCAAGGCAATATATACCTTTCATCATTTACAAAAGAGACACATAAATCATACAACAATGATATATTTCCCAGATATTACACGTATTATGTATTCATAGAATATCCTGCGATGCCATTAATTATACTCAAGGTAGCCACGCTGCCGGGTTGATGGCGTGAAACTGATTTCACGCATACACAGAAGTCTCCATTTCTGATGTCACGTAACTTACGTACGTACTTCAAGTGCTTGTCTGTGACGTCACTGCCATTACGTCATTCGATCCCGAATCATGGCGAGCGACCTGAATATGGAGGATTGATCTAAAACAATTTATGTTCTTACATTATCGTTAAATATGTACAATTTTCAATATACCTTAGATATTACTACCTCATAATAGCTGAGATTTTAACTCTAAAGACCTGTCTCTATTTTATACCAGTGTCCCTTTAATTAGTTTGCATTCATACCTAAATCAATATAAGACTTGGACCTTGAACAGGTCAACGCTTTTGTATATTTTCTTTGAGACCCAAACTGACGTTTTGAAAAACGAAGTTCGTTAACATATATCACTTTTTTTGTGAGTAGGGAAAACATCCAATGACTTCTCCGGCCTTAATTTAGGCGAGAGGGAGTGTCAGCCTCTTACTGACTAAAAACCACCCCGTCCCTACTCCTGCTCTTCGAGCCGGAGGCCCGGCAACCAGTTATCCTTCCGCGGCTCCGTATCGAGCATCAGCCCTACTGGGCTCCATCTGTGACATTTATGACTATAGTTTAGTATTTGAAACATCTGTTACTATAGTGTTACTATGTGTAATGACACAGACGTGCAGTTAAGAGGAAATTTCATATCTTTTCTGACTCACAGTTGTTTATGGATTCACACTTTGTCCTCATAAACTGAGGCCCTTCATATACCTAAGTACCTAGCATGGCTACGATCTAACAGAAGTTTATAATTAACAACGTAGTTATGACTACATGCACGCTAATTTTTGATGTAAATGAACAGATTTATTAGTATAACACTAGCTCAAAATGGATTCCAATACTTATACTTAAGCTGTTCATTATTGTACTCGGTATAACGATGTGTATAATTTATTTTCAATGCGGTAAATCTTGACACGCCGTTGTAATGTTTTGGCAGTCTCCACGCCCAGCAGTTGTAATAGCGTCCATTAAACTAAATAGGTATTTTAGAACAAAAAACTACTGCTCTTTAAAACTTTATTGAAAATGGCGACTGCCTCGTTGTCCGACTAGTCGCAATTGCGACTGCCGGGCAAGGGCTCTCGGGTTCGATTCCCGGGTCGGGCAAAGTATTAATGGGTTTTAAAAAAATTCTCAGTAGTAGCACGGAGTCTGAAACTGTGCCCGGTATGTGGCAATAGGCTCACCCCCTATTACATGGGAGTCATAACATATATAGTGAAAAGTGGGTCTTACATTGTACAGTGGTATAATGTGCACCTCTGCCTACCCCTTCGAGGATAAAAGGCGTGATGTTATGTTATGTTTGGTATTGTAATTTGACTAAACTAATCGTGTAAATTTTCAAATACAATTGGTAAAGCGCCTCTAAAAAATTAGTAAAAACTAATTACAGATTATGGGTATTGGTAAAAACTGTTCAAGTAATTCAATGGTACCCGTATTGCACGAATAAAAACGCCTCAAATGAAGATCCTTCAACAAATACGACATTGCTATTCAAATAAGGTCATAGGTAGAATTTTCCTCTTAGGAGTTATATGTTTTGGTTAGATATGGGTAGGTAAATGTAATAAAAACACTTGGTACTTAGTCACCACAATGCAACAACATAATGGTGATTAATTACTGCAATTCAATATAACTGCCTCGTTGGATAAGTGGTCGCACGTGCGACTGCCGGGCCAGGGGTCTCCGGTTCGATTCCCGGGTCGGGCAAAGTATTACTGGGTTCTTAAAAATTCTTATTAGTTGCACGGAGTCTGGAAATTTGCCCGGTATATGGCAATAAGCTCACCCTCAATTACATGAGACTCATAATATAAATATTGAAAAGTGGGTATTACATTGTACTTACAGTGGCATAATGTGCACCTCTGCCTACCCCTACGGGGATAAAAGGCGTGATGTTATGTTGTATTTCTTGACAAAAACTACAAATGACAATTTTATTTTATTTATTAATCTTGATAAACGTCTTTCCAGGTTTCGGAGTGGGTCTCGCGTCGTCCTCATCATTCGTGTCGCTCAACCATTACTTCTCTAAGAAGCGAGGTCAAGCAGTCGGGCTTTCGATGGCTGGTACTGGCTTCGGGTTGATGGTGATGCCACAACTAGTCAAACTCCTACTAGGAGAGTATGGGTTCCGTTGGACGGTCGTCATATTGGGTGCCTTGGCCTTCCACGCTGTGCTTGGCTCCTGTCTACTGCAACCTGTTAAAAGACATCTCATTGATGAACCAGTGGATTGTGAAATGCAAACAGTGAAGGTTAGTATGATTTTACTGTGGTGCAAACCATCTTATGAGTCCTTTTTACTCTCTGATTACAATATATGTAGCCTCTTGGTAGAGGATTTAAAGCTAATCTAATTTACTTTTGAAGATGTGGCTCATATTATTTACTATTCTCTCGCTCATTTCAGGAAATGGAGTGTATACTAGAGAGTGAAGAAGAAAACGATGACAAATTCGAAATAAATCCACTTGTCTCACCTCAAATACCAAAGATAATGAAGCAGAGATCACACACCAACATGAACCATCCTTCAGTACGGACGATAGGCCTACCGAGGGCCAAGACCTGTGACAAGCCCTTACAGGAATTTGAAAAGTTCGAAATAAATAATAAGCTGTACCCAGGGTTGACAACTGCTGCGTCTGTGGCCGCTATGCCGCGAGTGACATCTAGCGGTAGTATGAGTGAAGCTGCGCGAAAGAGAAAAGTGTCCGTCATTTCTAATATCTCCAACATGGACTTCACTGGCAGTTACTTGCAGTTGTATCTTGATGTGAGTGTCTAATATTTCGTTAATACAGTGCTGATTTTGCCTAAACACTTGAATCTAGATTGGTATTTAAAGTACACAACTAATGTTCATAATATTATGCTTTCAGACAGTACAAGACGATGACGCCATACAAATGAAGCCAATAAAGAAAGTGGAACCCGAGGAAAAGAAGAAGGGTTTCTTTAGAAGATTTATAGCTCTTATGGACTTAGATTTACTTAAAGACTGGTCATTTTTGAACCTTTTACTAGGGCTCTCGCTGTTTTGGAGCGGAGAGCTACAATTTAGGATGTTGACCCCATTCTTTATAAGAAGTTTGGGCTACAATATGAATGACACGGCGTTTTGCCTCTCCATGACTGCCATTACTGATATTTTGGTGCGGTTGATCCTACCGCCTATATTTGACAGAACGACCATTTCCAAGAAAATGATATTCTTTATTTCTTCATTCTTCTTAGCTGCGACGAGATCTGGTGAGTAAAGTACCTACTTATATCTTATTTTTCTTAGACCGTATTTACTTAGCGGTAGACCGATCATCTACTATTCGATCTTCATTATTTATACGCAAATCTAAAATAGTGTTGTGAAGTGCTTTCATTCATCTACAGTTAAACTAGGAAGTTTAGATGATTAATAAAGTCATGCGTGCAGAATAACAACATCACACATCACATCAACAGCTTATACGTCACATTGGTACTTACCGATCGTACGTTTCAATCCCGCACCCTCATGCATGAGAATCGGGCGTCTTAAACCTCCACCACCACCACGACATCAACAACAAATGTAAACAATGATTTAATTACTTATCTAATAGTTTTAAGGAACACCAACAACATCAATACTTAGTAAAGTTTTTAAGTTTTACGACTTCTCAATCGCGTGTTAGAGTATGTTATTGAATTCGTTCGTTTTGTTTAGTTAACACATGCTTACTTATACAAAGAACGTTACATCATCGATAAACCTACTTACAGTTTATGAGCTTCGGTCATAATCATAAGAATGTAGCTATGAATACATCACTAAGGTTTTATACAGATCTAACAAGCTACCTATAGGCTGCAAAACCTGAAAATCTCCTAATGGGAATAATCAGTTCCCAACAGAATAATAAAGTTAAATAAAAATAATTTATTTCAATTAAGTAGACGAGGATGGCACTTTTGTACGTCAACAAAAATTGAAAAGTGAAGCTATTTGCTCATTCCAACGAGTAGATTCCTATGGAGAAGAACGAGCAATATGTCTGACTGGGAGAAATGTCTAACAAACTATTGTTTAGATTTGCTCTTAAAAAATAGATAATTCAGTAATATGGAATTTCTGATCAGTGTTTGTATACGGAAACAATAGAGCTTATAGTTTAAAAATGTTACCAACATACCTCAAGAATAACTGTATTATGTACCTATAGTTAGTGTATTTAAAAACATGTTGAAAAAGTATCCCTTTTCACTCACACATTTCTGTCGTTCACTACATTAGCTTTCGTCATCAAGAGCCTATAAGTGTCCACTGCTGACCAAAGACCTTTTCTCTCACGGAGAAGGTTTGAACATTAATCACCACGCTTGCTCAATGCGGGTTGGTGGTGTCAAACATTTTATTAGAAATTATAAGTCCAGATTTCCTCACGATGTTTTCCTTCAGTACATCTTAGAAACCAATCTTAACCAAACCAATTTTAGATATTTGCTTTACCAATTATAAAAATAATTTAGATCCGTAACTCATCTATCACATTTACATTTCCAGTGTTAGCAGAGCAAACAGAATGGGTGCCTCTGATGATCTGGCTGTCCATCTGCGGGTTCTTCCGAGGCATGTGTCTGAGTAACTTCACTCTGACCATATCTGAATACTGTCCTCTTGAGAAGCTCCCCGCTGCGTTCGGTCTGCACATGGTCAGCAAAGGAGTATTCGTTGTTGCTATTGGACCTTTGATCGGTAAGTTGTTTTTTAGTACTTACTTACTTACTTACGATACAAAAATGATTAAACATTAATGTGTCCAGTATTAGTGTCTACTTTTTGAGACGCCTTTTGAGTGCATGCCTATTAAGAGACACCTTTTGACTAAATGCTAAGAGAAAACTCGAAGGTAAATCCTTCACTAGCGCCCGCACTGGTCAGTTTTGCCCTCTGTGATATATATGAATAACGGGTTAGTGCTGAAAGTACTTTTTTCCTTAGAACATTGATAAGATTGCCCTGACCAGAGCGTATAATTTACTAAACTTTTGGATCAAAATTCGTCTAATATTGTGCCTTTTTTTTCAGGATACGTGAGAGATTACACCGGTAGCTTCGCAACGTGTATTCACGTGCAGAATGCTCTCATAATGTCGTGTGTACTTGTATGGGGCGTGGAGTACGCGCTCGCCTTTACCCGCCGCAGGAAAGTCGTGCAAATATAGTGACCACTGCGTTCCACTGAGGAACTAAAGCTCATCGTATTACTGTTATATCGATTATCCAATATCTAGACACGTTGTAATCTTGTCTACTTATTAATGCTTTTATAAGTACATTTTAATGTCGCATCTCATGTTTACGAGCGAGAAACAGTGCAGTTAAAAATCTCTTCAAGTTTCTTAACATATTTTCAGCGTGTACATAAAAATGGATATTTTAATCGAGTTTTTATAATTGGTCAGTCCATATCGTAGCCATATCAAAAGATTTTAATCTAAATGGAGTTTATTGGCTGCACTGATTCCATAAATAAAGATATTGATGTTGAATGGTATGTATATTCGTGCATACTTCGCGTGACGCTCATCTAGAATTTATTACTAATAGTCTGAGACTCAGACTTGAGCTTTCCATACAAAAATGCGCATGTTTAATCAAAGAACTAAATGATATTATTTTTGAAATTTTCTCTAAAATAGCTCTCTAGAGCCGAAACTGAATTGGCCATGACTATCATCATTCATTTTGTCGCAATAATCTAACAAGTTATTCATGAGCATTGGTATTGAATTAAGGATATTAAAGGTAAATAATAAACTTCCATGTATGTGTCAAAGCTTAGTTGTTAACACTAGAACCAGTGAATTTTGGAAAAAAATAAAGTGGTTTAGGGAACAGAGAGTATAGTTCCCTAAGATCGGAAAAGGAGGATCCTCCGACCAGGCGAGGTGATCGTGCCTGGCGGGCTTTCTGCCCAACAGTTGTTCGTTGGGATTTTCTATCCGTGTTTATTGGCTTGTAAACTTTGCATGTGCGATGTAGGATTCTTGTGACGTCATGTGGCATGCGTCGCCACATCACTCCCTCCCAAGACCGGAGGTCGATCCCGCTGAGACTGCTGTCGATGCTTGAGATGAGCGGTGCCAGAGCCAGTGTAGAACGTCCCTAGTTCCAGTGGGTCGGAACCGTGCCGCTGAGTGCCCAGTGAGTCGGGTCAGCGGTGCAGGGTGAAACTCCAGTGAGTCGGAGAGATGCGTTCGCAGTGTCCCACGGTGAGTCGGGGAATAGATGCTGCGAGGGTAGGTGCGTAGTGGCCGGCATCTGCGTTGACGGGAGGAGGTGTCCTTCAGACCGTGTGCAGAAGTGCTGTGCCTAGACGCTAGTGAGGCCGTAGGGAAGAACCAGGCTGCACGACTTCGTTGCAGGCGATGGTGGTCCCTGATGAGGCCGAGGATGCTGGTTGGCTGCGACTTGATTACCGCTCAGCGGAGAAGTGATGAATGAGAGGGATGGCGATACGGATGACGGTGCTAAACTGCTCCGTGAAGTGAAGGTTGCTTCCAATCACGTCGGGGTCACCACTTTAGGGAACAGAGAGTATAGTTCCCTAAGATCGGAAAAGGAGGATCCTCCGACCAGGCGAGGTGATCGTGCCTGGCGGGCTTTCTGCCCAACAGTTGTTCGTTGGGATTTTCTATCCGTGTTTATTGGCTTGTAAACTTTGCATGTGCGATGTAGGATTCTTGTGACGTCATGTGGCATGCGTCGCCACAGTGGAACATCTATTTCATAGTTACTTAGAATGTAACTTTTAGACATTGATTTTAACGATTAATATTTTTAGACGGCTGTTTGTAGTACGGAAAGTTTTGTAGGTGTGTATTTTTAGATGATATTAATTTATACACATAAATTAGTTGTAGGAAATCTTAATGACAAGTTTTATCAAAGTAGATGAGACCACGAAAACTCTTAGGTGAAGAATGTAGAATGATTATTTTGGATTGGGCTGCATTTCTTATAGTTTTAATTCTCTTAGCGATTACTTTTGATCACGATTTAGTTCCAATTTTGTATTAGATGTCAAACTTCAATACTTATTACAAAAATACGGAATTTGCCTTAAAGTCAAAGTCCACATTTGACCTACAAACTGCAATGTATAAAATAAACGAATTATGTCATCTTCAATGACGTCAACGTAAAATGTATGTCCTGAAATTGCAACGTTAGTAAATTAAACATTCTGCTGCAATCGACAAAATATATTATTATTGCCAAGTTTAATAAATTTGGTATTATACAATACGCACGTATTGTATGTGCATCGCTTGTATAACATGTAAACGAAGCATTTCTTTTAATGCAGATTTGTTATATCTACCGTACTTATTAGTCTGTAACATAAAGTACTTATTTAAAGGGACTCACGATCATTATAAACGGGTCAATGATATACCTACATAGCAGATATTTTATAATCAATATACTCTCTTCCAATGTTTCGTCTTCCAAGGACTGTATCTAATAAGATAATCTCCTGCGATGTGCTTTCGATGTGTGATTTAATTGACCAAATATATCGTTTTTATAATAACTATCGTGAGACATACTACATTAACTAAAAATGGCGGGTTACTCACGTGAACGTACTGAGAAAAGCTCTACTAGAGTAGGCTGAGCGCCATCGCCGCCACCGCGCACGTTGATCACGAGGAAGAACCCCTCTGTCGTTCGAAACTAGTAGAATTTTTCTCAGTATGTTTACGTGAGTCACCTGTGAATTTTAGTTAATTCAAATATATCGTGTATGTACTTACTTATGTTGGTTAAACGTAGTACTTACATTATAATAAGAAATCATCAACAGTTATTGTTTGTACTTACTTATAAAATCTCTTTAAAAAATATAAGACCGCTCATTAATCGTCTGTTGTTTTTAACATAATAAAATAATTGCAATCAATTTTTGAAACTTATGTGCCAATTGTACATACTTTATATGAAGTGATATATAATCTGTCTATTTAATCATGACGACGAATGTTTGAGGGAGGAACTAATAACGTTAAAACTATGGCAACACTCAATGAAAGTACAATAAATTTCATCAGCCGTAATCGAGATTGCCATTACGAATTGGTTTTTGTTAAAAAGGTACTAGAAGTAAATAAAACCTAGAAGAAGTTTACATGACATGACACAATAACAAGATAACATGCAACAAACAACAAAGGAGTGGAGCTCGACTAATTGCATTTCGGGTATAAAGTTATTTTCAATAGAACAAGAAGATAAATAAATTTTGTCAAATTAAGATTATGTTTTCCCGCGAGCAGTGGCTATGACAGGTAGGAATCGTATTACTGTTTATATTCTGTCTGCCAAAGGTAAAAACCACAAAATAAACGATTTTATGTCATAAAATAAGGATTGTTTACATAGCACATTTATTTATAGATTAGTTCTGGATGGTATTAGGTTGGTAGTTACGCTGTAGGGATTGCTGTATGAACGACCGGTGGCGCCCTCATAGATTTTCATGATTAAATAGACAAACTGTAGGATAGAAAGATATTTAGAAAAACGAAACTTTACAATTATCAAATCAAATAATCATGTACAGTGAAACCTGGTTAAGTGGGACATCAAGGGACCTGCAATGCCGTTTCACTTATAGAAGTATTCCACTTACCCAGTGTCTCAGATATACAGGTATAAATAAATATTTGTCTCATTTACAGAGGGTTCCATTTATAGAGGTGGACTTGGAATTACGTATGGAATTTGTGGGTAGAATAAGAATGAGTAAACAAACAATGTTATCTCAGTTACAGAGGTTTATGCATATAAAATTTACTCGCTGTCTCACTTATAGGGGTAACAATGATGATAAATCGAAAGAACAAATCCCAGATATAGAGGTTTACCTCGTCCCACTAACAGAGGTAATTCCGTGCCAAAGTGTTGGGACCTTAGCATGAGTTCCAGTTATGGAGGTTTCTCACTTATCCAGGTCCCACTTAACCAAGTTTCACTGTACTTATAATAATATTTTAGACGTAGTTATGTAAAACAAGAACGTACGTTAATTAAATACAATGCATTTTATTAATGTTAAATGAAATATGTACACAGAACCAATGTAACTGTTTTAAGTTGGTTTATTGACCGAGAATGCATAAATATTCATTAAAATAGAATGTTTATCATTTTATAATTGCATTGAATATATTCAAATACAGATGTTACAATCTGGTCACAATTTCCATAGAGGCGACTATTCATATTTTTATGTACAAAAAACTTGAAATTTTGTAGAAAAAACATAACAACTTGAGATATTTGTTTTGTAGATGACATTTAAATTATGCCATAATGATATGAAACAGACTGCTATGGAAATTAGTTTGGAGTCACATGTTCGTGTTCGGTATATTTTGAGAGAGATGCAAGTTTCTGCATTATGCTAATACGACAAACTTCATAAAAATAATAGCAAAAAAACTTCAATCATAGAATACCGACTTATGCGCTAAAGGCGTTGTTAGAATGTACCATGAGTAAATAGCAAAAAAAAAAATTCATATTTCATTAATTATCCCCAACTCAAAATGAAAGACTTACAATAATGCCTGCATGAATAATTGAATATTCCATATAATTTTTATGACAATAATTTTGTTGAGTTTTGGTATTTAATCGTATTGTTGTTGATAGCTTTGTTTAAATCAGTTGAATCTGTTATGAAATAACTGATGCCTGCTTGTTACAGTACCATGTTTTAAGGGTTCATACAAATAATTTGAAATAACTGAAACCTAGTGTCTTAACAAATAACACATACATATTTTAGTTTTAAGTTTTCTAGAAGTAGAGAGTACAATATCATGATTTAATTTTTTAATTTATTATCTGTGGTATTGTGACAAGCAAACATTTTATACTTTTATGGATGGTGCGAGATTTAGCCTGTATGTTATATTATACTTAATCTATTTTATTAACCATGTAAAATTTATAGTGAACATTTTATATAAAACAATGAAAAAAGACAATGGATTCAAGTAAAAGGTGGTTACCGAGAGACGTTGTTTCATTTCATTTCAACATTTTTTTTCAAAACGCAAGAATACTTTTTTTGTGTTTTATAGTAGGCATAGGCCATAAGGGATAGTTTTTTTTATATGGCATGTAGATGTAACAAATTTTTATAACAACA